TTCAATGTTCATTTCATGTTATGCTATAGAGCTTACTGTATAACTGCGAACTGTGAAACTACAAGTGTCACGGAAAAAAATAAATTTTTTATTTAAAAAATTTAATGTTTTATGTGACGTCAGTTTGTAAATTCCTTTTTTTTTAATTTCTTCAAAAAAATACTTCTACAAAAAAAAATTTTTTTTTTTGAGAAAATCGAATAATTGCAATTTATTTAATTTTGAATTTGTTCCGCTAATTGATTGTCATAAAAACACAATTATGTTGCCACACAAATATTCATAAGCTATAAAAACATTTAATTACGCCGTCAAAGGCAAATCCGCTAGAAGCACTTGGCTGCTTCCGCACACGCCCACATTTATGCGCAAACAATGACGAACACATATTCACAAGCTTTTAGCTTTTCAAATGCCGCACGTACTGGCTGCAGTCATAATTGCATGCCACACGGTGTATTTGTGCAACACGCACACTCATTGCCAACTGATTTGATTGTTGGCAGCAAACATGTTGTAAAAATAATTTTATTATTGCTCAGCGTACCTTTCTTTCTATTTTTTATGTGAATTTTTCACCAAATGCAACGCGCATTTTTTCTTTTTATGTCTTTAATGGCCACTTAAATGCATTGAAATGAGCCACAGAAGTGCTAGCGCAAACGACATCGTGCATTTAAGTGTGCATAGAAGAAAATTGTTTAACATGAAAAACTACATTACGCACATACACACACACACACATGTGCATACGCATGAAATAATAATAATAATGTGAGGGAGAATAGCAATAAAAATTTGTTGGGGAAAAAGCGTGTGGAAACATGCAAACAAATTAAAACGTCGCTTTGTCGCATGACAGGCGCTTATTATACTGTGTACAAGTGCCGCATGTGGCGCCATAAGCTGCACAAATACATAATTTTCTATTTTTAGTTGTTGTACATACATGGAGTTGTTGCTGTATTATTGTTATTGTCTTTATATTGTGTTGGAATTTTTTGAAGACATTGAGTGTCGCTTGTGGCATCCCACTGCAGTTTTTATGTATGTTTCTTTAAATGTTTAAGAAATGCTATGATGCTTTCTGCGATTTCATGCTGAACAATAGTATTACTTGTCGTTTAAAAAAAATTATTTAATAAAATATTTTTCATTCAAATAAAAAATTACAATTTTTCTAATAACATTTTCATTTCTAGTTGTATTTTTTAATACCTTTTTTTATATTCGCGCCTTTGAATTTATTTTCCATATTTTTACTCCTGAATTTTTTTTTTGTAAAACTTATAGCATTATTTATTTTATTAATATTTTCCACACTTTCAATTATTAAAAAAAAAAATTCATTTCGATTCAAAAACATGTTTTGGGAAAATTTTGAAAAAAAAGTTGGAAAAATAAATTTTGGAAAATTTCGAAAAATTTTGTTTTGGAAACTTTTGAAAAAGATTCCAAATTTTTTTTGGAAAAATTTGAAAACTATCTTGGAAAAATTTAAAAAAAAAATATTTTAAAAAATGTTATTGGTAAAAACAAATTTTAATATTGACGCCTTCGAATTTATATACAATTTTTGGAAAATTTTATAAAAAATACTTTGAGCGAATAAATTTTGGAAAAATTTGAAAAATATTTTGGGAAATTATGATTAAATTAGTTTTGGAAACTTTCCAAAAATTTTGTTTTCGAAATATTTAGGGAAAAGTTTTTTTTTTGGAAAATTTGTTTACCCCGTATTTTGGTAACTTTCGAAAACACTAGTTTTGGAATAATTGTTTTTTTGTAAAATTATTTTTGGTAAAATCTTTGAAAACTTTTGAAAATTACGCTTCGAAGTTATTTTTGTAATTTTTTGTGTAAAAATGTTTTACCCGTGAAAAAGTTTTTTGTATGAATTTTTTTTAGGGAACACTTATTCAACTATACTTTATTTCATATTTTCATATTTTTATAATTTTAATTCTAATTTATTTTTCCTGAATTAGCAACATGATATATTTTTTTACTTTTGTGAATTTTTTTCTAATTTTTCCTTCATAATTTTTTCGAATTACCCACACGCACTGTAATTTTATTTGATTTTCTCATAACATTTCATTTTAGTCATTTCTTCTTCTTTTTTACTTTCAGCGTTGCCCAGCCAATCAATTATTGTTGTTGCAGCATCAAATAAGGCTCATTGGCCGCAAAAAGGTGAGTAGAAAAAGTACATAGAGAGTCCAAAGGAAAATTACAAATAATTAACACACACGCACATGCCTTTGAACATGTAACTAAGTGCATGCGCACTACCTGCAACCCAACTGGGCGGCTGGTGCAACGCACATTGGCTGGAAAATATTGAAAAGAAAACTTAAAAAGGTTCTTGCAACCTTCACTGTGGTGCGCAGCAGGTGTTGATGCCTCACACGTTCGATTGATAGAAATCTAATTATTTATTTTCATTCTTTTTCACACAAAATAAACCAAATGTAAGTGCATGTGTGTGCGTCGGCGCTCGCGGTAATACATTGCAGCTGGCCAGCAACTCATCTACGTCTTTTTTTTTTTGCATTTTTACACAAAGCACTTAATATATTGGCGCATCAAAGCTCATACCAGCTGCCAACTGTGCTTGCCACAAACTCTGCTGCCCACTCCATGCGCACGCCAGCCAGCTATTCAGGCATTTTATGCGGTCACTTTGCCTCTGATCTCGGCAGGTGGCTGTTGTTTCAGGCAGTTGCTTTGCAACAAAAGGCGGAAGTTGCACATTGCTTAGATGATTACTGCTGTAGCATGCAGCCGCATGCGTGGTGAACTAAAATATTTATATATATACTTATATATGCATTTCTTCTGCTCTCAGCGTGTGTGTGTTTGTCTGAAGCAAGAGAGTCTTCAGCGTCTTCATTTATCGCGCCAACAACAGCTTTTAATTACAATTATTAAGCACTCACACACACACACTTTCGTCGCACATTCTTCACTTATAGCTCTTTTACACACTGGTGTGTGTGTGATTTTTTTCTCAAACTGCACATAGCTGCCATTGTTTGTAATCACGAAATGATTTCCATTTTCAATTTTTTCCAACATTCAATTATTTTATCTAAGCAAGTGATTTTCACACACTAACACATATATATTTACATGTATATATGCCTGGTCTTTATCAATCAGGGAAGTTTTTTTCTTAAGTGGCAATTTAATATTATTATTAAGTTCTAATTTGTGAGCGCAAAGTGCGGGAAAATCGCTGCAGTTTGTGCTAAAGAGTGGCGGCAGCGACGTTATCATTATAAAATAGAAAAAATTAGGCATTTAGGTGCTTGTAGGAAGCATTAGAAAACATTATAATTTCATTAGAATGGAAATTGACGGGCCGTATGCTTGTTTCTCCAAGAAATTATGATTGTGACAGCTTTTACAGGAAACCGGTGCTTGGGTTTCTTGGTCTCAAATATACACAAAGTACTTAAGGGGTTATAGCCACTTGTGAGTTGCAAAGCGTTAATCGCTTATATACCGAATACAAATATATATATATATTCTCCGAAAGTTTGATGTTGAACCAGCAAAAAGTTGCAGAGATTTAGAATGACAGCTCCATGTTTTTTCATCATTATTTTAAATTTACATGTGATCTGTATTTTTCTGCCATATTTCATCATTTTTTGGGTTTTATCTAATCCATAGTCATTGATATATGTTATGAAACACTCCATTTTCATGTAAAATCAGCAACGTTTTAGTATTGGAAGCATACTTTTAGGGGCTTTCTACTTTTGAATTTGAGCGGTCTTTTTGGTTGCAGTTCAAACTCATAGCAAACGTCTCGGATATCGTACAGAGTATATTTAGCATAACTTGTGTTTCGAACGGTCTTGAAATACCTCATTTCTCTACAGAGTCCACGTAACTTTTATTTTAAGCATACATTCAGGCTCATATCACTTATACATAACGAGTTTTAGAGGTATTTCTGGTTGCAATTGAAAGCACATTTGCGCTTGAGTATAAGTGCGTCCTCAAAGCCCGTCTATAAACTTTCATTAACGCTAATACCTCAGTATATTTACTATAATAAAGCATTCGATGTCTCAATCTAAATGATTTTCTATAAATCATGGCTGATATGCAACGCCTCCGGCACTGCTTAGCTGCCTATTATTTGCAGACTCAAAGGAATTCCACCTTCAATAATGGCCAGTGGCTCAAAGGTCTTTCAAAGCGCTCTCAAAGGAGCGGAGTACAATAAAAGCAAATGCCAATAAAGAAAATAAATTTTGCTAAAAGCGCTCTAGGGCTAGCAATAAAATAAAAAGCTAAAAAGCAAATGCAAAGCCATTAAAGTGCGGCAAATACCTGTACTTATGAAGCAACAAAAGCAGAAGTATGCTAAAAAGAAGAAGCAGTAGCATGCCGCATTGTTGCAGCAACTAAGCGACAGCTCCTCGAGCACACAATAAATTTGCGCACATTTATTACAATAACTAAGCAGTAATTCATAGCCAGGCCGCAATATTTGGTTTGTTCCAAGTTTCATATGATCATATGATGTTGTGCCACATACACTAATATACACATATCAATGTGTCTACTAACAAAAGCTGTGGGCATGCGCTTGCTATCTCTTTATTTATTATGTTAGGAACATTTGTATTGTGCGCTTGCTAGTTTTAAATGACCACGAAGTGCCCGCTCGCATTTGAAATATGCTTTTAATTTCACTTCAACTTGCCGCTACCATCAAAGTCAGCTTGATTTACTATTTCACTAAAGTCACCCAGCTCAACTGCAGGCGGCCGCGTAGTGTCAATGATAGAGCGGCTCTGTTTGCTGGAGCTGGACTTGGTCACTTTGCTTGATAATTAAAGTGACAGCTGCATTGTGATGCGCGGCGGCCGTGACTTTGTCACTCTATGCGCTTAAAATTGCTTGAAATGACTTTTGGCTTCCTGAATATTGAATGGCGCTGGTATGATGTCTAATCAGCGCGATCTCTCAAGTACTTACAATAGGTAATTTTGAAGTCAGATGGCTTCGGCTCCAAAAAATAAATAATTTTCTTACTTTAATCTATATACATCCCTTCTCCAGACTTTAAAGTTCATTTTAGACTTTTCTACTCCTTTTATGGATTCTCCATTAGAAAACCGCCTCGAAACCTTGTTATTCTTAATATATCTGTCATTAGTTTCCACAACTTATAAAAACTCGACTCCAATTTCCTTAGTCGGTAGCTCTTTTGTACTCATTTCCCATTCCCTTCTATTGAAGATGAGAATAGAAACAGAAAGATACCTGCTTATAAACTAAAAATGATTATTTTCTTAAAGCCGAACTCCTTAACTTCTTCCTATTTTAGCTTATCTTTAGCTCATATTCTTTTGGAATTGGAAATTTTTGAGTCTTGCTGGATTAAAAAAGACGACAATCATATTTCTGTTATCCGCCAACATCAGGCCAGCGATGTTACTTATTGCATACCGAACTTCATTTTCAAGATGGTTAAATGGCTAAAGCCAACATTTAAGAACGATTGGCAAATATCCAGCGTATTTCTTTGAGACTTAGTACAAGTTAATACCAAATTAGATATATTAAACTCTGTATCTCAATATTTGATATTCATTCAGTTCCAAAGTTAATAAGAAGTCGATTCAAAAATGAACTAAGTTTCCTACAGCTACTTTTCGCTGAGCCATACGAGTTCTGTAAACAACTGATACCTCTGTTCCATTTACTTCCTGCAACAACTCTTGATCTTGAAAAATCATCACCTTTACCAGTACCCTAATATTACTTCCGTAAAATGTGTGAAATTATTCTAAACAAATTCTGATAATAAATCAAGTTAACTCAGCGTGGCCATATGTCTAATGAATGGCAGCTTTGTTAAAACTTAACTGGGACTTTTATTGTTCGTTAATACACAAACGCCATCAAAAAGGCATTGAGATTGTTTAAGCTAGTACAAAGTTCAAATGACGAGTGTTTTCTATGAGAGTATTTTGGTTTGGGAATGATATAATAGAGCAAAAAGTAAGCTTTGACTTCTCACGCTGACGTAAGTCCATGAAGCTTTCGAGCTTTTAAAGCTCTGTAGACTCAATATGTGTTCTCGAAAAGCTTTTCTATACAATTTTATCACCTAATGCAAAATTGTTTTGATAATTAAATTTTAAAAATTTAGCTTTAAAAAATAATAATAGTAACTAATTTTACTTTTTTTCTTTCAAGCAAAGTAAGTTTACATAATTATTTGAAAATATATATTTTTATTGTTTTATTACTAAAGTGAATAGCGAAATTTGGAAAATATTTCGAATTGTAAGCAATTTGAAAATAAAATAAATT